TAGAGCCGATCATATGCTTTACAATCACTTTTATAAAGTATTTGAGAAAAAAGTTCAAGATTTTGGTTTTGAACGAATGAAAAGTGAACTCAAATTACTTAAAGAAGAGACTAATTATTTATACGATAGATGTGTTGATAAAAATACCTTATTATCCGATATACTGCCAAAACATTTATATTATTCGCCGGATATAAGTCGACTAAAACCCAAAGCAAATTCAGATGACATTTGTGAAAAATTGACAGCAATTGAAGGCTTTTATATCGATGTCATCCGACAGAAACAGAATTATTTGTATGAAAAGAGTTTGAGAAAAGAGAAAGTAATTGAAAATGAAAAGAAACGGATTCAAAAATTGAGAACATTTCTAAGATCTTAAATAACCAACAATTTGTATATCACTAATAAATTTAGTATATCATACTTTAACTTATTTGAAAATTAATAAACATTTGAATTGATAATATTTTTAAATCAATGAATTAATATATTTAATAAAATAATTTTTGTTACATTTAAGGTTTTACTGTCTCAGTAATTGTTACTCATCCTAGGTGGTCCGATATATTTTTATTAATTCTAATCATAATTTATAACATTTTTAATTTGACGTTAAATTGTAGAAATGACATCATTTTTCCCTAAGTTTTCTGCCTCTTCTAAAGTATCGGGAATTTCCTTATCTTTAGTTTCAGGCAAATAGAGGCCGAGTATAGCGCCATAACATTTTTAATTTGACGTTAAATTGTAGAAATGACATCATTTTTCCCTAAGTTTTCTGCCTCTTCTAAAGTATCGGGAATTTCCTTATCTTTAGTTTCAGGCAAATAGAGGCCGAGTATAGCGCCGACAGCTGTTACGATGCCATAGAATATCATCACAAATGTGAGACTTGTATGTATTGTCTGTAAGAAATATCTATAAAATATTTATCAAATGAATATGTAAAACCATCCAGTACCAAATTTCCCATGAAAGGTGCGCTCACAGAGCCAATCCTTCCCACTACTGACGAGGTTCCCATTCCTATATTTCTAATAACTGTGGGGTATATCTCGGACCCATATATTACGAGTACATTCCAAGAGCTACAGATACCATATTTGCCAATCAATGCAAATAATACTCGGAGCCATGGTTTTCGGGAAGGGATGACTGCCACACTGGACAGGGCTACTATTGCCATGAATATGGCGTACAGTTTACGTCGACCAATAAATTTGAGAAACAATGGAGTGAACAGTTGAGAGGGCAGTTCCATGAGGCCTGCCAACAGGAAGGTTATGTAGAAATTACCGCCAAAGTCGGACATATTAAAACTGATTCCGTAGTAAATCAATAGATGCATAGTTTGTCCGCTCGCACACCAAATCAAACTACAGTAGTCATTGATCTTGGTTATATATCTTATAAGATCGCATATTTATACCTCAGTTATAATTGATTTCTTAAACTGTGTCCTATTGTAATAAATTTGAGAAACAATGGAGTGAACAGTTGAGAGGGCAGTTCCATGAGGCCTGCCAACAGGAAGGTTATGTAGAAATTACCGCCAAAGTCGGACATATTAAAACTGATTCCGTAGTAAATCAATGCGTTTATAATCCATGAATACCACAGAATTAGTGAATATTTTCGTAAATTTGGTGTTTTTAACAAATCAAACATATTATATGTTTTGCCACTTTTGATTATATCCTAAATTAATATATAAATCTAATATTAAAATTATTAATTACAAAAATAATAATTTACAGGGGCTCCTTGAATATTTTTTGCCAATTGTGTTATTTTTTCAGTTAAGTTGTCCGTTGATTTCCCATTCATTTGTAAAGCTTTTCTAATAGTAATCTCTGCCTCATCTACCCGTCCATTAGCCAACTGCCATCGCGGGGATTCGTATAAATAGTAAAACCAAATTAACATGATAATCATGGGAATAGCTGACATAAATTGCATGTATCGAAAGTCTTGCAACCAATAGGCAAACCCTGGCAATAGGACATAACCCAACACCCATCCCACTCCCGTCAATATCACTATATCTGCCCGATGTTTAGGACCACAACACTCAAGCACTGAATATAAGTTTATAAAATATGATTTATCTCAATAAAAAACTTCATATGATTGACTTACAAATGGTATAGACAGCCCAACCGCCTCCCGAGTGACCAAAACCAACCAAAAAGCGAGAGATTATATACTGATAAATATTGTAAGAAAAGGCACACGAAATGATTGCCAACACTTCGATACTATAGGACAGGTATATCATCGGTCTTCTGCCATATTTGTCTGAATAATAGGAGATTACGAAACCCGACGCCACATAACCCAACATAAAGACGGATTGGGTCAGAGATGCATAGTTTGTCCGCTCGCACACCAAATCAAACTACAGTAGTCATTGATCTTGGTTATATATCTTATAAGATCGCATATTTATACCTCAGTTATAATTGATTTCTTAAACTGTGTCCTATTGTACTCCCATTGAGTGCAACTTTCATTAGGGTTATTATATTTATGACATTTCATTTCATCTCGCACAATTATCTATTGGTTAATAAAAAACAAGCTTATGTTCAAGTACAGATATTATAATAACATACAGATTGATTATGAGGAACATCAGAGCACCAGTAGTCGACACCTTTTGCGTGAAAACTATAGCCCATATTGATGAAGGCGGCGGCCGCTGACATTAGAAACACATAAGCGCTTAAGAGGAACTGCCATTTACCCCATTCCCCTATTAGGTCGGTGATGTGTTTCACCCGCAACTTCTTGTTGGCCTCCATTTCTTACTTTCTCTCAAATCATCTATTATTAAACTAATGGATAATTTTTTTTATAATTCTATTTTTAATACTTATTTTGCAAAACATTTTTTAAATTATTGATAATTTTCTTTTTAATTAAATAGATTCTATTTGTTTATATAAAAATATCTCTTTAATCATACTCTTATCAAATAAACCACATGCACTTTCAATATTTGCAAAATATTTTTAAAAATATAAATATGATATATTTTTGACAATGATTTCATGTATTACGGTTACCAGAAATTACATAATAAAATGTTTAACATCACATTTTAAGTTATTAAATAAATGTATAAATTAAAATAAAATTAGAAATCATCATTAAACTTTTATAATTTTATAAAAAGATATTTATTTAATAAAAATGAACTTATGTACCATATTTAAAATATGGTTTAGTGTGTCAATGAATAGCTAGTGTCTGACAAATATCACTGATTATAATGAAATTTTTGACATCTCAATAATTTACTAATTGATTACTAACATTTGTGTAAATATTTTTAAAAAGATAATTATTATACTAATAAATGTAATTTATACTGTATTTACATTGCAAAAAAGTAGTAATTTATGCTAATAATTTTAAAGATATTTTGATTAAAATCTCTTTGTTAAATGTTATACAGTATAACAAATTATTAGTTAAGATTTTCCATTATTTTCATTTTGTTTATCCTTAATGTTATTCAATTGAATTGAGTCAACATTTTCTGCCTCTTCTATAGTATCAGGAATTTCTCGTCCCTTTGTTTCGGGAAGAAATAGTCCCAAAACGGCACCGACACATGTCAGGGTACCATACAGTGTCATAACCAGTGTTAATCCAGAAGTGGCCGTCTTTATTATTAAAACAAAACATTATTTAAATAATAGGATATTAATAGTTTGTATAATTATTACCAAATTTTTCATAAAGGGTGCGCTAATGGATCCAATCCTTCCCATGACAGACGCGACACCCATTCCCCTCTGCCTCAAGACTGTGGGGTAGAGCTCGGGGCCGTG